TTTGGGATGAATAATACCAGTATTAATTACTAATCAGATTAGATGAGTTAAATATAAAATATATAACAAAAAACAAGTACAAACATAATAATAGAATGTTAAGAACAAATAGATTCTATTCAGTGCAATAAATGAAAAAAGTAACTAATATAAGAATGTAACTTATTAAAAACATTGGTAAAATGAAATGAAAAATGTTAGGCCGAATATATATTAAGTCAACTCTGTTTGTTATTAAACTATGCAATGCCTGTGGTATAATTAATCAATTACAGAAGCAAGGAGAGGAGAATGAGAAGCGGGGACGAAAGAGTAAAAAGTCCTACTTTGGTAGCAGTACTTCTTCCGTAATTTAGACTATCTCCAAGAGAGAAAATTCTCAATTCTTGTTAAGAAAAGAGTGCGAAAACAATGAAACACTAATCTTATCACACAATATAGAGTCTGTACAAGCTGTTACTAAAATCAAAATTTCACCAAAAGCACTAAAATTGAAGTAGATGACCGATAGAGATGCAAAGTTCACTTTTAAAGTACTCTGGAAGACTTGAGAGGGAATTTCTCTGTCCTGTTTCCGTTTTCTAATTGAAAAAAGAGTGACTGCACAATTGAGGAATATCCACTGTCATAAAAACCGCAAATGTAGTGGGAGAGGCTCTTTGTTCGTAAGAGTCCTGGGGGGAAAAAAGGGGAACGTTGTAGATTCCTTCCTTGTGGGGATTGCTGCGGTGGGTAGAAAGGAGAAAAAGGAGAAAATAAGCCAAATTTTATATTTTCTGAACTATTTGACGGAGAATCTTTTAATTTAGAAATCCTTAATCATCATTTTCCGCTGATTGTTGTCATCGTTTTTTCATGAAAAAAGGGCTGTAAAAACTGGAGAAACTGCCTGATGAAGAAACCACTAGTACCTTTTGTTATCACCAGCTTTTCTTATCTCTTTGGAGCTCTTTGTCATAGTTAGCGATACGTTCAGGGATGAAACCGTACTTTTTCCTGCAATTTCATAGATGACTCATCACACCACGTGCTAGCTAAATAATCTTACGTAATTAACGTAATAATAATCTGATCACTACGAAAATAGTTCCAAGGAAAACCTGACACGATTGCGCGTCCGGTGATATAAATCTTGAGAGTAAATGATGGACTAAAAAGCGATGTTGTTCTTCCCTTGCATGAACAATGGCGGACACAAAGGGCTCCCACGAGTAAACTAGAAATTAATTAATAACTTTTTACGTATGGATGATACAGGCTTAATCCATATATCAAACGCATGTCTTGGCTTCCTCAATAGTATGGTATGATTTACTCAACCTAATTATGAGGACTTACGCGAAAAATGGCGAATATTGAGGAGCGTGAAAACAGCGACGCACATGTTTTAGTACAGACGCACAGCATGTTTTAGTACAGTAAGACCCCGCTTAACACTGTTTCGTTTAGCGCTGTTTCGGTTTTAGCGCTCTTTTATTTCAACCCGGGGATTCTCTGAAATTGTGTGCAGTGCTAGGTTTCCAAATAACATATCCGAAACAGTGTAGATGTGTTTCTTGCTTTGTGGACGCATTTTTATCATTTGAAACATCTGTTGACATTATTGTAAATTTAAATTTGTATAATTACTATAATGATTAATACAGTGACAAATATTATGAGCTTTAGTTTTTATCATGGGTGATAATAAAAAACAAGAAAAGAAAGCAACGAGAAAAAGCATTTCACTGGAAACTCAAATGCAAGTGATTAGAAGATTAGATTCTGGTGAACGTCAATCTCAAATTAGTGCTGCATTGATTTTGGCAACTTCAACAATAAGGACAATTCTTAAGAATAAAGAAAAAATACTGTCATCGGCAACTGCAACTACGTCAAGCTCTGCAACTAGAATTACCCGTTCTAGAAATAACATTATAGAGGAAATGGGAAAACGACTGTCTATATGGATTGACGACGAAATTGAACGCAATATGCCATTAAGCCAATCTATCATAATGCCTTCTTGACAAAAAGGCAGAAAAGAAAATTGGAAACCCAGAATAGACTGAATGATCTGACTGAGAATTGTATTTGTTTTTAAAAGTATATGCATTTATATTGTTTTTATTTTTGTAAGAAATAAATGTTTGATTTTATTTTTATTAAAAAAAAAACATTATTAAATTTAATGCCTAACCATTTTTTATCCGTCTTCCCCTAACCCCATTATTTACATGTTAAGATAGCCTCGCTTAGCGCTGTTTCGCATTACGCTCTACTTCAATGGAACGTATCCCCCGCGTTAAGCGGGGTCTTACTGTATATGTTTTAAAATTTTATGGTAAAAGTATATTTTAGGGTACCCCTTGGCGATTTTTGGCGGCTCATGGATACCGATTTTGTGTAATTCTTTGACTTGTTATTTTGGCTTGCATAGCGGCAATTTTTGCACCAAAAATCACGGCTGCATAAAACCAAAATTCGTCGTCAGCACATAAATTCACAAATATAAGAGTAAAAATATACTACGTAGTTTCGGACTGTCCGGAAAATGGCTATAAGTAAACCTTCATTTACACAACAGTCGATTAATGCATTTTCCCCTTTCGTTCCAAATCTTGCAGAAACTTCAAATTAACTTTACTACATTCAGCCATACCATCTAAACAATAAAGCAATACACCTCCTAAGCAATACACACCACAAAGCCCTTGCAAAATATCCCATGATTCAAAATTTCCCAGAATAATGCAAATGATTACGTCATAATAGGGTTTCCATGCCATTCAACTATTTGGGTTACCATAAGTGATATAACTTGGCGATAAATGAAACAACAACTTCACAATAATACAAGGAGTACCCTAAAGTCAACTCTAACTAATTTTACTTTAATTGCATAAATCATTGTTCTCTACAATGAAGAATAGTAAAATCTAAGCAGAGAACTACACTAACACATAGCCTTCAATCTGATAAGCAAATAAAAATAACATTCATAATAAAAACTCATCTATGTGTTGCAAGATAATTGGTTTTTAGTCATTAGTTAGAATAGTTCAGAACTACTCCTATAAACATAAAAGTCAGTCTTTGACAAGTATTAGTTGTTTAATTTAGCAGTCCTTATTATATAATAGCAAGTGGTTCATTTATTTTATTTTAGTTCCTCCCCTATTTTTTATGTTATTATAAATTTACAGATGTGGCATTTTCTCAGGGTAGTACAGCTGTTTATTTGGCCACAAATTAGTTAGTTTTTGAATGAGGAGTTTTTTAATGGGTAGATTGAGAAAGATAAAACATTATTGGCTGTCATGTTTATTATATTTTTGTCATTATTCTCCTCTCTTAAAGGCAGTTCATTAAGATTTAATATTTATTCATCAAAACTTCACAGTAGTTCATCCTAAATTGTCATCCGTGATGTGATTGAAAATAGGATGTCGAATATATTTGTAAAACTTCAGAAATTTACTTCAGTTTCTATGTGTAATAATAAAATTGTACCTCAGTTTATTTTTGTTGGGACCTAATTTATATATGTGAATGACTATTGAAAACCAATAAATGCTAAGCAGTAACAATTTCATGAATAAATATATTTAAAACTATGTAATTTTACTTACCTTTCCTGTAGAGTGCATTTATCAAACATACAATAAAAGTTTGGAAAAATTAAAAATGTTAAAATGTTTTTGCAACACTCCTTTACTGTCATCATTAAGAACTATCTATCATACTTTATGGCTTTAGTACTAAACTTTTCATGTATAATTCTCTTTTTTATTTTATAAACATTTAATATATTATATTGTGTTTGTATAAGTGTATGAATTTCTTTCATGCATTGTAAACTTTCCATTTGCATCGGATTATAAAGTGTTTCTACCGCCTTCTTGGCATGGCTTCGTAGTGTAGTGGTCTGCACGCTGGGCGGGTACTCCAGAGATCTTTGGTTCGATTCCCGGCGAAGACATTGCTCATTTCTCATCTTTCCTGTTTTCAAAAATTACCTAATGTCTCTAGAATGGTGCCCGAACTAAAAGGGTGGTGGATCATGATTCTCCACACCCAGGATTTGGCAATTGGGTCCCCTAAAAAACCCCAGTTGCCCTTTAAAAGGGAGAGTATTTAAAATGTTTCTTCCGCCTTCTTTACATGCCTTCGAGGTGTAGTGGTCTGCATGCTGGGTGCGTATTCCACAGGCCTGTGGTTAGATTCCCAGCCAAGGCGTTGCTCAATTTTCATCTTTCCTGCTTCCAAAAATTACCCAGTGTGTCTACAAGAGGAGTTTATGCTTAATAAACCAGTGACCTTTTGTTTTTAAAAAATATGCAAAATGTATCAGAGCTATTATTGTTACTGAACATTTCATCAGTTTACTAATTTTGGAAAAAAAAAAAAGCTATAGGAGAATGCTATTAAAACATTATGCTGCAAAATGTTTTCATGAAATTTGGGAATAGCTTCTTATTTCAAGATTCATGATTTTTGAGTATTTTATTTGACATTATTATTTTATATATGTTAACTATGTTTTAAAATATTCTGTCATAAAATCTACTTGATTTTTTAAGATTTTAAGCTTTGAAAGCTGCTTTCGTAATCTGTGTCTGTATTCCTCAACTTCATCCTTAATATGAGGCATTTTCCTTTATTCATTGACAGTAAAGCTGTATTTTTAATAGAAATAAACTTTATTATTTGAGTATTTAATTTTAAGTAGTCAACAATTTTAGCTTCTCTTAAATATTATTGCTTAATTTTATTCAGCTTTAGTGCCTTTCTGTTACTGGAGCATTATTTAACACTAAACATAAATGTTGGCACAAAATCAGATGCATTAGATGCAACAATCTTGACAATATAGCTTCATGAGAGGAATGACTATTTTATTAAATCTTAAATAAATATAAAATAAATCACTTTTACTATAATCCCACTTTGCAGATGCTGTTGTATGTAATTAATAAAGAATGTATACATTTAATAAAATTTAACAAATATTTTAATAGACTTGTTGCACTTGAAGAACAATATAAGAAAGAAAAAGAAGAAGCAGACCAAATTTTTCAACAAGAGAAAAAGGTTTGCATTTTTTAATAAATGTGATTTTTAAACTTTTATAAATTTATTATAAAGGTGATATATCTGTTGTGTACCTTGTAAAGTAAAGGAACTATTATAATCACAGAAAATTTTGGTTATCAGAATTAAATGAAAATATCCATTTTGACTATTTTTTAGCATTACATCTATACAGAGGATCAGGTCAGAGTAAAAATTTTTTATCCTGAAATGACTTGTGAAATGGCTTCAAGATGAATTTTTTTTTTTTTTTTGTGTGACATCTGTATGTATATGCATATGTGTATGTGGCATAGCTCGAAAATGATTAGTTATAGAACGTTGAAATTTTGTATGCAGGACTCTTTTTACATCTAGTTATGCAGCTCCCTTTTTTTATTGCAATCAGCAGTAACCAAAAGTGTATATGTTTATATATAGAGAGAGAGAGATATATCCACCTTCCTCACTCAGCCTTTATTTTTGCAATTGTTGATCATAGATACTTCCAGTTACAAAAGTGTTTTAAACTGAAAGAAAATTCATGTTTTGGCAATGTATTAATTTGGACAAATAATGAAATATAACTTTTTATGTTGTCTCTTGGTTCCTGTACTTATATTTGGGAAATTTTTACACTCTTTATGAAAAAAAATAAAAATACAAGAAGCTTGACTCCCTTGTTACAAAAAGTAAACAGCATATTTCATTTTAAAATTTTTAGTTTTTTATTAGATTTTGTTTGGGGGGGGGCTGTTACTATATCTTCTATCTCTTAAGGAAATGTGTCTTAGTACATAAATTTGTAATAAATGTTTATAGTTTTGTTTTATGAAAGTGTGTATTGATGTACATAATTAATCAGTTATAGATAAAATAGTAAAAAACTTGGAACCAAAACTACAAAGACATAAAAGAAATTAAATTTAAAACCAGTAAAATCCCTAAATATCCCAGTAGCATATATATATATATATATATATATATGTAAATCAACCCACATTGTTTTGGGGATTCTAAACCAGAAATACATAAATATTCATTAAAAGGAATACTACTAAAATCTAATTCAATGTTATCAAGAGGAGATAGGCCAGATTCAATTGAACCCCTCTTCTCAGGAAAACCACTGTGTTTCTGCCCATTCAGAATTAGGCTGATGAACCATTTTAAATTATTTAATTATAATAGTTCATCTAAAATTCTGAATGCCTCCTCTATGCAGTCACCTTTCTTTCATATGGAATAAAAATACACAAAAACAAATTTAAATGAAATAAATTGAATAAAGCAAAAGTAAAATATGTTCTATTTACCAATATTAAAATTAAAATTAAAATATGATTTACAAAGTATATTAATAATTAACTGAGAGCAAAATTTTTTAATTTATTATTAGAAGAACAAAGGACAGTAATTTAAAAGGAAAAAGTGTTGCTAAGGGTTGCCAGTTTGGCACTATTTCTGATACTAATTTGCAATGGAAAGTTTGAAATCTCTAAAAGGTAAATTAAAGGTCTCTAAAAGGTAAGATATATTTTAATTTGGAAAGCCTTAAAGTAATGCAAGTAAGAAAAGGGGGGAAGAAACAAATTTTACTAAAGAAAATTTTAATGCCATGGCAGAACAGAATAGGTCCTTAGTTGATAAAAGTACAGTCAAAAGTCTTTAATCCGGACTCGCCGGGACTTCAGCGATTCCGGATTATCGATTTTTCCGGATTATAGATCATCAGTTTAAATCTGGTAAGATGGCATGCAGAAATTATAAAATTAAAAATATGAAACCGTAATTTATAAAATAATGAGCAATTATGATCTAAAGGGTATCAAAATTTACAGAAAAAGAAGCTTAATATTTATTTGTTTACTTTATTAAACATTTCTTTCAACGCGCGCATGCGTAAAGCATACATTACGCATAGCCAAAAATTAGAAAATTGCAACCAGAAAACTATTTGATTTGTATTCGTGATATTTATAATGATGAGGAATTTGATTTAAATCATATCAAAGACGGACTACATCGAGATGAAATACTACATTTAGTAAGGAATTATAAGCCGAATAAAATAAAAACATCTGCTCTGAAAACAACGATAGTGCTGACAGATCAACTTCCAGTTCATTGCGCGCCGCGACGTTCCCCCCCCCCCCTGCGCAGAGCAGCGTGAAATTGATAAACAGATTTCGGAACGGTTAGATAAACAAAGGATATGCTTTTATCCATTTTTTGTAGCAATTCCACTTTTTGTTTGATGGACATCGAAATGTATTTTCGTTTTGTAGATCCTTTGGGAGCTCCAGCATCGGAAATTCTATTTGACATAATCGAAAGTTCAAGCTTACTTTTATAAAATTGCTCTTACAGTCTGCAAAAAATAATAAGCCGAATCCAATTCAAAAATTAAGGAACAACGCTATCATCAACATTAACTGAAATAGATAATTAGAGCTTATACCGTCCGTTATAAATTAAACGTGCACGCGAAAACGTATTCTGCACTTGTGCAGACGCATATGCGCAGTCGTAAAGGTCCTGTGCGCACGCGTAAACGCCTATGCGCCTACGTCAACGCGGCGCATGCGCAGAAAGATTTTAGCTTTAAGGTCCGGATTATGGGTGTCCGAATTAACGACTTTTGACTGTATAATCAAAAGAAATTGTTCTGTAATTATTGGGAGTTAAAATAAGTCTCCGCTGTTTGACAAAAAATGGTGCCACTGGTAAGTTATGGTTAAAATTGTCTGATGTTAAACGCCATATAATAAGGTTGGAATCTGCTGACAACATCTTTGAAATATTAGAGATTTTGTATCAGCATCCTATATATATTTTTCCATGCAAAAATGTCGACTTTTGAGTGAAACGAGCATCATTTTCAGGAACTTTTGATTTGCTTCTTTAATTTGAAGAAATCTGCAGCTGAGTCATATTGATTGCTTGTAGAAACATATGATGATGATGCTGCCTTAAGTGAGAGAAGTTGTCGTGAGTGGTTTAAAAATTTTAAGAACTGAGAATATGTCTTAGAAGACAAAGAATGTAGTGGAAGAATAAAAGTGTATGTAGGTGCAGAATTGGAAGCATTATTGGATGAAGATTCATGCCATATTCAAGTAGAATTTACACTTACATTAGGAGTGACTCAACAAGTTTTGCACCATTTAAAATCATTGAGAATGAGTCAGAAGCAAGGAAATTGGGTTCTATATGAACTGAAACTGAGAAACATTCAATGCCTCTAATAATATTTAAGCAGTATTTTTCATGTTCTTAAGATATTTTTCAAGTGTACAAAGAGTTATCTGTGATCCATATTTTATTCAATAATTTCAAAATAAATAAATTACCAAACTTTAAAACAATAGCTTTTTTATTTATTACTTAAAATGAAACATTTGATTTTAGAAGATAATTTATGGATTATATAAATCTTCTCTGAAATAATTAATTAAAATTTTTCCAGAAATTTTTTTTTCATGTGGTTGTTTTTGTGTGTTTCAAAAACTAGTCATTTGATCAGGAATAACGTGTTTATTAGAAAATATTATTTTGAATATTTTACCATAATTTAAGTTTCTAAAACTTACAATCATTATTATTATTATGTTATGATGAATATATATATATAAGCAAACTTAAAAGTATCTAAAGTTAATATTAAATTGGAATCAATGCAAGGCAATTCCTCAGCAATATTAATAATTGCAACCGTGTATAAGAGGTATAACGCAATATCTAAATAAACCAAAATTAAAGTAAGACTTCATGGTAGAACGATCACGAAAAATAAAAATGCAAAAGAGAAAATATGCAAAATTATAAAAATATATAAATTAATCTCCTTTTATTGACACTCCAATTCAGAACTCATCAGAGAAAAATGAATTAAAGCTTCATAAAAGTTGATCAATAGTTTCAAAAACATGTTTCGTTCTCCTGGTTCATTTGAGATTTACTCCCCCCCCCTCGAAAAAAAAACAATAAAATTTTCATTTAAAAAATTCAATAAAATTCATTAAAATCCATATAAAACCGAAAAATCGAATCTCAAATGTACCAGAATTTTCCCTGCACTTCTATTCAGAATTTCTATATTTTAAAGAAAGCTGGTATTAACTACTTTTTTTTAATTTCTCATCTAAAGTGATATGATAATTATTACTTAAACTATAATCAGAGGTAATAGTTGAATGACTACGATAAGAAATTTGATTGTATATTTGTACAAAGATCTTGTTTCTTTTCCCTTTTAATTATTATTTATACTATCTTTCTGCTATTTTGTAATTTTAATAGCTGGCAAATCTCGTTTTTACTGAAAAAATGGGGCTTCTAGTTTTAAAGCCATACTGTACCATGATTATGTGAATATTTTTATCTTTTATAAGCTCTATTTTTCCTTTTCCTCAACTTTGAGCCAGTTCTGTTCTCACGTTTTAAGATTTTACAGAGGACAGCATCTTTTAGAAGTTTCTTATCCCGTCATATTGGAGTTGACGATCACCCTTCTCGTCGGTAATATTTTTACAGATCGCACCCTATGTTTGCCACCCTGCACACGAAGTTTAACAGAACAGGACATTTTGAACACATGTTAAAATAGTTAGTTCTGCTATTGGACACTTTGAACCTTACTTTTTCCAAGAACCATACTTTTTCCAAGAACTACGAAATTTTTGTTTCTCCTGAGCAGCTTTGAATTCTACTTCCTTTACAAGGAACTCACTTCTGTCGTCCTAAGAATTCAGTTAGTTTACGTTAAGAAAGTCGTCTTAAGAATTCAGTAAATTTCAATTTTTTCTATTTTTGTTTCAAATAGGTTTTCAGTTTTTAGTTGTTTAAGGTTCAGATATGATTTTATTATTTATAGAAATCTCTATAATTTTTTTTTGTTTTGTTTTATTGGTATTAAAAATTTAGTTTAGCATAATCGGGAACCACCCAATTTTTAAATGTTGTTTAAATGGCAATTTGGTTAAAAGTATACAGTACAAAGTCCGTAATCTGGACGTCCATTATCTGAAATGATCTATAATCCAGACCTCAAAGCCACAAACTTATGCATGCGTGTAAAGCCAGTAAAGCGTTTACCCATACGTGCTCCCGATAGTGAAGAAAGTAACAAAGGACATTATTGAAAACGAAAAAATTTCGATTGATCATTTAGTCAGTATTCTCGACACAGCAATTACAGGACTTGAATAGTGGAACTTTGTAACTGAACAAGAACTTATGTCTGTTTATAGAATTAAAGAGAAAGTATTAGCAAACAAACAAAGCAACTTAAACAACTTACATTGAAAGAAATATTTACTGAAATAAACAAATAAATATTAAGCTTTTTTTTTTTTTTTTTTTTTTTTTTGGTAAATTTTTATATTTTTTAGATCATAATTGCTCTTTATTTCATAAATTACGGTTTCATATTTTTAATTGTCTAATTTCCACATGCCGATTTACCAGATTTAAATTGATGATCTATAATCCGGAAAAACCCCTAATCTGGAATCGCTGAAGTCCCATCGAGTCCGGATTATGGACTTTGTACTGTATTTGTTCAGCTCCTTATTTGTAATTGTTTTTGAATTTTTGATTTGCATATAATGGTTTTAGACCCCCCCTTTTTTTAATGGATAATTTTCATAATGTAAAGTTTTTTTAAGTAGTCAATTTGGCACAATGTTATGTGTTATTCTTTTTTCCAAGTGTGTAGGAAAAATTCTCATACATTTTAGATTTGATTTTTCACTTTTATATGAATTTTTAAAGTCTTAAATGAAAATTTTATTGAATCTTTTTTTGATTTTTTATCTCAAATGAACCAGGAGAATGAAACATGTTTTGGAAACCTATTAATTGACTTTTCTGAAGCTTTAATTCATTTCCCCCTGATGAGTTCTGATCTGGAGTGTCAAAAAAAGGAGATTAATTTATATATTTTTATAATTTTGTATATGTTACCTTTCGCATTTTTATTTTTTGAATTTGTTCTAATATGAATTCTTATTTTAATTTTGATTTCTTTAGATATTATGTTATACCTCTTATACACGGTTGCAATAATTTATATTATTGAGGAATTGCCTTGCTTTGATTCCAGTTTAATATTTACTTTCGATGCTTTAAGTTTATTTTACTTCAATCCTGCAGCTATAGCGCAGGTTGTGTTTAAAAAATTTTGTTTTTAATTCTTAGCCTATTTTTTTGTTTCTTTACATATATATATATATATATTGTGAATTATTTCGTATCAAATATTGATAAAGTAGTTTTAAAATTTTAAAATATGTAAATTTAGACCTTTATATTTAAAATTTTTAAATGTATTTCACAAACAAAGAAATTCAAACTTTTGATAGTAAGACTACTTAACATACTTAATAAATTAGCGCTTAATTTTATTTCTTCTGCATGTACGATAAGACATAAGAAATTTATGTTATTTTTATTTTATGAGTAATTATTATAGTGAAGTCATAAAATTGTGAAAAATCTCTGTTTCTGTTAAATTGTTAGAATCATGACATGCAGTTGGATAATTTTTAAAACAGGTAGGAATAAAAAAATAAATAATCAAAAATCGGAATCAGTTTGGATATTACATTAATGGGAATCAGTTTCTACTGTGTGAGTGTTATTAAGATCTCAGTTGCTAGTAAATGGGTCTGTTACTGGTATGTAGTGTAAATAGGTGTTGTTAGTCTTTTTTCAAAAGGAAATTCAGTATCTCAGCCAGAGGAATCAATTTAAGGATGCCAGTGAAATCCATTTGCATTCTTTTCATAGCAGAATTAGTGAATGATGATTAGTGAATTGATGATGATTATAAACAGTCATAAAATATCGGAACAGAAATAGGAATAATTCCTTCTGTTTTTGGAATCACAAGATCAGAATGAAAAAAGTATTTCCATTATCAATCAGTCAGATAAATTTATCAGAATGAAAAATAATTTTCTTTTAGTTATCAATTTAATCCTAAAGTTATTAGAATTTTTAGAAATAAAATATGAAGGTTTAAATAATTTTAGTAAATAAATAATAATCTTCATTTAATATAAATTATTAAATCACATTAATTTGTTCAAAAGTGTTTTGAGAAGTAGTAGTTTGAGAAGTAGATTTGTATATTGTAAGTGAAAAATTTTGTTGCCTATTTATTAGAATTATGAAGCAAAAATAGAAAGTCTTCAAAGGCAGGTTGAAGAGCAGTCAATGATGTCAAGCATGTACAGCTCCTGCTGTATTAATGAACTTGAAACTACTATTGATGAAGACAATGATTACAGTGAGTGTGCTTTTAAAATCCTTTTTCTTTTCTTTCTCTGTATTTTTGTTAATAATGATGATATTCCATTTGAAAGTATTTACATGTAAAATCTTATGCTGTCTGCTTTTTAGTACAGTACAAAGTCCTACAGTACATACAGATGTCCAATATCCGGAATGATCTAAAATCTGGACCTCAAAGGCCACTACCAACATTTTTTTAATTTTCTTATACATATTTTGTATGTGTATGAGCAGGGGGTATATCCCACCCACCCCCTGCTCATAATAAAACATTTGGAGAGTCCTGATTCTAAATTTCTCATCGGCACTAAATAAAATACATCGTTATTGAAGAAACAATCATTTTAGCATAAATTTGTATGATCAAAATAATTTGGCTTCGTATCTGCCGGTCATACATCTCAAACCAAAACATTCTACAGATACATCATTGATTTTTACACCTAATAATATTTTATACCCCTGATGCCAAGCTGGCAAATCATTATTTGTTATATTTTGCTTTCATCACCGCATGTTTATCAACACACGAGAACTTGAGTAATGGCTCATGGAGCGATACCTAAACAATTTTTTTTTTTTTTTTTTTTTTTTTTTTTTTTTAATATTAGTAATTGAGAAACAGCATGGTAACCTTTTACGTTGACATTGCTCTTGGCAATGATTACAGATTTAAGTTAAGTGCGCTAAGAAATGTTGACAGGAAAAATTTAACAAAAATTGATTTCCATATGCTAAAAGTAGATTTTGTTATTGATACTCATAGGCCAAAGGATTACATTTAGTTCTATTTGAATACAGAATAACTGGTTTGTTATTCAGATAAACTCAGAACCACACCAGAGTTCATATAGTCGCACCAGGTGGCAGAATTTAGGAAAGACAAAGGGAGGTGCTTGGTAGCAGAATTCAGTAAGTATATGTGAGATTCAGTAAATATAAATTCAGTAAGTATATGTGAGAATTTATTTATTCAAGACTCAGATAAGCATTAAGCATGTGCAAGAAATAGGTGTACGTATAATAAATAACTAATACAATTAAGGCTTAATTGTCTCAGTGCACAATAGAAGCAATATAAAATTTAGCGGAACAACTTGTTGTTCTCTCAATACATAGCCAATCTCATAATACATAGCCAAATATGTATAGTGAGTGAAAGCTAAATTTTATGATGATAGCCGCTAATCTTTTTCGAATGTTGCAAACCACAGGTGAAATTTTCCGGTTAGCCGATTTTGTAAAAAAATATGGAGAAGCGATAACAAATGAAGAGGATATAAAAGAAAGTTTTTTACTGTGATGACAATGTTCCTCAATCATCAGTCAGTTATCAGATGGCGAAATCTGTAGTATGATTCTAAATCCAGAAAATACCGCTACAGACAGAGTGACAGAGAGGAAAAATTTCGATTGGAAAGTTAGTCCAAATTCTAGACTCAACAATTTCAGGACTCCGAAATTGGAAGTTTGTAACTGAATAAGAAATTATATCTGTTTATAGAATTAAAGAGAAAGTACTAAGCACAAAAAATGAAGCAACTTAAACAACTTGAAAGAAATATTTAATAAAGTAAAAAAATAAATATTAAGCTCTTCTTTTTTTTTTTTTTTTTTTTTTTTTTTTTTTCTGTAGATTTTGATACCCTTTAGATCATAAATATCATAAATCCTTCATTATTTCATATTAAATCACGATTTCATATTTTTAATTTTATTATTTCTACATGCAGTCTTACTAGATTAAAACTGATGATCTACTATCCGGAAAAATCCAAAATTGCGGAAGTCCGGATCTGGATCTGGGACTTTGTACTGTACCTTTTTAAACTCTTTCACTTGAGCATTTCTTTCAGTGCTATGATATTATTATCATGTGAAAAGTTTCTGAGAAAAACTATTCATATGTATTCATTAGCCAATACAGAAATCTGTATTCATTAGCCACTACAGATTTACAATTGCTATCTGTATTGGCTTTAATCCTATAATGAGCTGACAAAAAAAAAAAAAAAATATTTATAATGGATCATATATAAAGTTCGTAGGGTAGAACAATGCTTCATTTACAGTACAAAATCCCATTCATTTTTTGCTGTATAACTTATGAATTAGTTATTAACTTAGTTTGTGAGTGTACCTAAAATTTGACCAAGAATTTTCCATTTTAAAGTCTAATTTGCATCAGTGATTTAAAGAAATAACTAAAATGAAAAGAGCTAGACTAAGGGTAAATATTTTAAGACCAAAAGAGAAATTCTAAAAGCTTTATGTAATTTTAAGGAGAGTTTCAAGAAACAGATTTAGCCTTTCAGTGGTTGCAATGTTAAAAGCAATTCTTCCTTTTTAATTAAGCACTGTATCTGTCAGTTGCAGTGGGAACAGATGGTACTTGTTTTCTTCCAAATGCTTTGTTAAAATTTCACTATCTTCTCTTAGAGAGACCTTTTTGAAGGGGAAAATATGCATGCATCTTTATAGATGAATTACTCTTTTACACTGTTTTATAAAAAACAAACAACTACATATTACTAATATTACTATAACAAATAATAAATTTAATAAAAATAATGTATTGTTATTTTCAGTTATATTTTTACATTTTATAAATTGTTAATGTAATAATATTTTAGTACTGAATTTTTAAAAGATAACGAGACATGTTAGATAATCTCCATATATATATATATATATATAAAAGGTAGTGTCTGTCTGTGTGTGTGTTTTTCGTACATGCTGCGTGTAAGCTAATAGACCCAGCTCTACGAAATTTGGAACATAGGTGTATCCAGACAAGAGTCAGTGGACCTCGAAGTGATTTCTTTCAAAGTTCGAGCGAAATATTTCTTAAATTTTATGTTTTTTGATGAAATCGCATCAAATAAATAATTATCTCTTATTATATCAGCAAGAATGGCATGCAGCCATTGTTGCTGATATATTACTGTTGCTATTGTTGCTGATATCCTCACTGTTGCCACTCCACAAAATGAGGGTGATAATTCTGTGCAGTTTTTAAATTTAATGTTTCTCTTGGATACTAGGCATTTGTTGAGAGAAGGCAAGTTAATTTATTTATTAGGCTAATTAATATTTGTACTAAGGGATAATGCTTATTTCATTGCATTTTTTTTTATATGTAAAACTTTTATTTATTTATTTATTTTTGATAAAGTTGTTTTGCAGAGTAAAATTCTATGCAGATTTTAAATTTAATGTTTGATGTTCCCTTTAGACATTTTTCCGGTACATTTAAAAGCCAAACGAAGGCTGGCCATATAGCAGCTAGTTAATTTATAAATCAATAAGACATATAATATTATAATAAAAATTTTAATTATTGTATTTGAAGATTTGATGTTCTTTGCAGAATCTTGAGAGTTATGCGTAGTGATGGGTGTGGAACCAAGGTTCTCTGAAGCGTAAACTGAACCAAGTTGAAAAATTAACATAAAATTTAATCAGCATCTTCTATCCTTAAGATTTAACGACATCGATGAATATACGTGTCAAACTTTGACACATTAAGGAACTTATACAATGGATAACATACAAAATGTACTAGATTGGTACACTATGAATTGATCCTGCTTAACATTCCTTTTCATATAGGCAGGTATTTGACGATGTAGATAGGTAATCTATGATGTAGATGCTTGAGTAGATTCTTGTTTCCATTGTTTCCACTGAACTGTTCCTTAGTAGGGCTCCTTGCATCACATTTCTGCACTTGAGAACTGCACTTGAACACTTGAGAGAATCACAGCGGCTGGCCACGTTGGCATACATCCTCAGATAAGCGTAGCATGGAGGTCAGACAGACTACCCTTTCTCTATTCATCTCTCCTCATCGGCAGGAACCTTCCGCATAGCTATATGGTTCCATCTTTTCTGCTCAGCGCAACCGCGAATGGGAGAAATGCAAATTTCTGTCTCTAACATATATCTAACATATATATATATATATATATATTTACCTAAAAACACTTTTGTGTGTGGTAGACTGTAAAACATTGAATGATATACAAAGTGGCACTTTGCACTGCTAAAATCTTCTCCACTTGAATCATCTTCTGAATTTTCAAAAATCCAAATCGTTTTTGTTATCTGATAAAAGATTTCTATCTTCAGAATAAGATTCTTTGTTAAAAAAAAATTTGCTTTAGCTTTCTCTTATGTCATTTCTAGCTATAATTTCTATATATTTCTAGCTATTTTCTATATATTTAAAATACAGCACCAGAAGTTTGAAAAAAGTTAAATTCACCCTTATTATGGAGGAAATTATCTAGTACACTTATCACCATCTCTACCAAGTAAAATCAACTAATCTGCGAATTCAGCTCATTCATAACACTAAAAATTGTTCAGTCTTTTCGAAGAATGAGGCAACTTAATTTTCACACATTAGAGCAAAAATCTAGTTAACAATAGAAAATCATTCATTACCATTTTGCAGAAATTTGTAATACGAGCTGTTTTTGTTTGTACTCACTGCAGCGCTTAACTTGAATGAAGTTGGGTTCATTAATGTCCATAAAAAAAATAAATAATCTTCAAAGATTAGCTGATACAATTCGACAATGGAGTTAGTATTAGTTAGTATTAAGTATAATAGAAATGCCAGCATAATAAAATTTATCATTTTTTTGTGCTACTCACAGTAGGTTTTAACAAAAAAAGCCTTTGGATTTTCTGAAAATGAGTCAGTCTTGTTGGACTTCCAGATTATAAAGTACTTCTAAAGTGTAGAAATTTGAAAAACGAAATTTGAAAAAGCTTGTTGAAAGATTTTCATGCAAGTTGTCTGTAAGTCTGGCAAGAAAATACATAAGCATAAAATTCAGAAATACTATGAAAATATTGTTGTATGTTATTTCAAAACTATAAGGTAGCCAATCTGTCAGTTTCTACATTATTTCAAGATAATTATCAGTGAAGTCTCATGCACAAAAATCATGTTTGGTGTAAGAGCAAACATATAATGCTTACTTTATAGGTTGAATGAGTTTAAATAAAATTTAAAATAGTTATTTTTAATTATTTATTTATTTTTACTTGCTTAACTTCAATGAAACAATTGTAAAATTTCGTTTCAGTACTTTTTAGGAGAAAATGAGGAAACATTTAAATTTAAAAAGCAAATGTGATGAATACAGATTTCATGCACTAGTTTTTAATTGAAGAATTTACTTCCTTTAATATTATCTGGATTGAAAAATTTTAAGAAAACACTTTTTGAAACGTTTTGTGTCAAATGTTAAAGATACTACAGTAACAAAATTCAGCAGCCAGTTCTGCAGCTGAAGAATTCTATTTAACCATCAAAATTACAGTCCTGCAAATTTACACAGATTGCATGGATTCTTTTTGCTATAGTATCTTTTACATCTGTTCTATGATTTGCTATTTTTGTTATTGCTGTAGCAGTTTAAATATAATAGTTTAACTAATTTTAATTTATCTTTTAAGTCAAAATTCAGTTTTTTTGGGTTATGCCGGGGGAGGTATGTGTGTGTTGCTAATATTTGTAGAATTTTAACTGTGTGAAAGTTTAAATAAATGTCCTTCAGAATCTACTTGACAGACAAGTTAGTTATTCCTTCAGTCTGAGTTAAGAATGACAAGTCCTGTGAGATTCAAATAGCTTTTTTATTAACTCTTTAAATTTAGCATAAGTTGAAATTTAAATTCAAGTATCAAAGTCAGAGACTACACAACTGGCGATCTTTTAATGTCTACTAGTAAAATGGCTAAATCTAGAATCAGCTTTGTCTGAACTGGTGACAAGATATAAACTGCATGTGAGGTTTCCAAAAGCTCTAACATAATTCAAACCTTTGGCTTAAATACTCTCACAATAAAGTTGTGTTCTAGTGAGGACTATGGAATGAAGAAGTTAAAGGCTAAAATTATAATAATAATTTAATTAATATAAAATCATTAGGCCTTTTTCTCATCAAAGATTAAACTAATCGAAAGAAGGTCTTAATGACCTTAAGGACCCAGATTTTAAAATTCTAACATAAAAACTTGAACCATTTCTTACAAAAGTCTCATTTAAGTTGAAATAAATTCTTATATTTGAAGAAATTAAATAATGAAAAATCTGCATAAATGTATGTATATTTCTCACATTGTGATAAAACAACAGTACATAGAGCCATCGAATTTTGAATGACGTAATCCTACTGCAAATATGTCGTGGAAGCCCAAATTTGAAATTTAGGATTTGTTTTATTATCGATTTCATGTTTTGTAAAGCTTTAAACTAATTTTTGATTAACAAAACTCAAGGATTTCAAAGCGAGCAATGGCAATGTTGTATTGAACTCTGTATTGAAAATTCTAAAGATATGCTCAGTTTAAAAATATTTTGCAATATTACTCTTGAACTGAATTTTATGTTTTAATATCATCCTTTGTAATATGCAAAATAAATTCATTTATATTTTGTTTTTAACTCTTGCATTAGATTTTGATATTGTGTGCTATCTGTTAAGGATATATCAGTAATGTTCTCATCTCTCGTATCCCTTTTGAAAATTATTACAATCTGAAAATTTTCAGTTGATCCTCCATGGACTGAACATCAATATCAACTTGCTGAATCGGCCTTTTTAAAATGGAAGTATCATCAGTTTACCTCATTACGTGATGACTTATGGGGTAATGCTATCTTCTTGAAAGAAGCAAATGCTATCAGTGTAGAGTTAAAGAAAAAGGTTAGTTATCATTATCAATCTTCGAATTATATACATCTCAAAATTCTTAAAGCCACTTTGGATATTAAAAAAGATATGTATACATAAAATATCCATTTGTTTCAATAAAAAGAAAAATATTTTATGTGCTTTCATGTATATCAAAATTTTTCTATCATTGATTTTGTACTGATGATTTATAATGGTATGTTATAAAATATGTTGTAATAGCCACACAGTAGCTTTGCTGCCATATGGTTGCTGCTAATGCATTTCCATTTATGTTTGGTTAATCATTAATAGGTTGCAGTCAGTTTTATCACATATGTTACAATACAGTTTCAACAAAATAAATTAGTGCAGTGTGTGTTAACTACTTAATGTGCTAACTTAACTAACTTAAATGTGCTTAAATGTTTTATTCTTAAAAATATACAAAATAACTATGACTTTAAAAAAAAGGGAGATAATTCATTAAATTATTTTGAAAGACAGTATGGAACCGAAGTTAGAAAATCCTGCATTTAACTTTTTTATTAGCCCAAAAGGAGCATTAGCCCAATTGAGCTATGAGTCTCAAAACAGGATTTTGCATTGAATCACTATAAATGGCATATCAGTTTTCGAATTATTGCCACCAAATATTATTGCCATGTTTGTTTTTTAAATTAATTAAATAATGAAGAATCTACATGAATGTGTGAATGTTTTTCACAGTGTGAAAAAACAAGAGCCATCAAGTTTTGAATAACATAGTCCTTTACCTGAACATGTGCATCTGAATGCCTGAATTTTGGATTTGAAATTGGTTTTATTATCTGTTTCATATTTTGTAAAACTAATGAATGATTAACAAACTCAAAAAATTTGAAAGCGAGCAGTGGTGACACTGTGCAGAATAAAACATTTTTATCTGCAGCATGCAAGACTTTACATATATTGAAAATTCTAAAGATTTGTTGGTTTTAAAAGACTGGTGATTTTATTGTTAAATAGAATTTTATGTGGCATAATTTTGATGACTGTGATATTTAATAAATAATGTTAACATGCAAAATTTTTATCATAAAAAGACAGAAAACATTTTTCCAGCCATCTTATTATACAGAACAGTGATATGATGAACTAAGAAAAGAGTTAGAAAAATATTAAAATGTATGAACACTGCATCGGGAATTCTAAATCTTGTTAAATTAAATAAACATTTTGGGATCTTCCTGTTGTATTGTACACTGGTGTGCAAAACTTAAGCAACAGGTATTCTTTTTGCCCTAACTCCACGAGAAATCGTCTGAGAGACATAAAATTTAACAATGAGAGAAAGCATTTTGTATTTAAACGATGACGAAAGCACAGTTGCGCAAAAATGAATAGAACGCATACAGTATGGAATTGAACAAAAAGAGGCTTTATTGAACTTATAGTATCGTTACACATAATTGTCTGTACAAGAGGAAGAACAACAAGCAGATGTTCCTTAGTATGGGATATGCCGCTCCCATTACTGCAATATCTGTTTTGCACCGTCTCTCCCTACTCAGCACCAGATTGTCCAACACATCTTGAGATAAGAGTGCCCATTCCTCAATCAGCATGTGCTTCAATTATTGGGTGTTCCCCAGAGGATGTAATCGTGCTAGAAGGAGTCTCCTCAAAGCATTCCACAGATGTTTTATGGGATTTAAATCAGGGGAGTATGCTGGCCAATCCACTCGAGTGATGTCTTCACTTCCCAGTAGCTTCTGAACAACATTAGTCCAATGTGGCTGTGCATTGTCATCCATAAAAACGAAGACTGCTCCAGTGGCAACTCGGAACATATGCACAGGGGGAAGGATCACCTCCTGATAATAATGATCTCCAGTTACAGAACCTCTGTCAAAAACGTGGAGCTCTGTCTGCCCGTTCAGCATAATGCCTCCCCAGACGAGAACTCCAAGACTATTATAACGATCTCTTTCTGTGATGTTACTGGGATGAAACCGTGTCCCGACCTCTCTGCAAATCAACTGGCATTTAGAATCGCTTGTGGCAGTAAAACAACTTTCATCCATAAAGAGGACATGACTCCATTGATCAGATGTCCAGTTTTAGTGCTCCTTGCAGCACTCTAAACGTAGCCCCAATGGCCAACTTTCAAAGGGATGCAACGTTCAGGATGGCAGGCGTATTCACCATGCTTGTGAAGGCGTCTGGACACAGTAAACCGGGACACTTGTCACCCCGTTGCTGTATACAGCTGCTGAGCTATGGCGCTTGCTGGCTGGTTTCTTGCTCTTTTCACCTACAGAATGATATATCAGTCATGCACTGCAGTTGTTTTCCTGGGCCGGCCACCAACAACCTTTTTAACAACTGCACCTATGAGTTGAAAGGCTTTCCAAATGTGCAAAATGACACTTTTGTTGATTCCGAACTCTTCAGCTATACTGATCACACTACGCCCCTCCTCCAGCTTTTCGATCATTCTTCCATATGTGAAGTCATCCAAGGGATTTCTTCTAGGCATATTTTACGAAAGAACTGACTTGCAGTGAATGTCTTTAATTATGCCTCCGTCCTTCTTTTTATAGTAGTCTTGAGTTGAGCGCGCCGATCGCATGTGTTTTTCGTACACTCACATTGTCTGTAATGTTTGGTTCCTGACATTTGCATATGCATGACCTTTCTACTGAATTGTGTGTTCACTGTACTGATCACAAGAACCCCTTTTCTGCAATTTCATTGCTGTCTAATTAAAATTTACATTGTTGCTTAGGTTTTGAACACTAGTGTATGTAGTGTAAGTGTGAAGATAATAATGTTTAACCGTCTGGCTGCTCGTCCCGTGATTTCCACAAGCAACTCAAATGTAGCAAAATCTGCTCATCCCGCGATTTCCACTGGCATGTGTGTTTCTTCCTTTATTGAGGAGTGCATCCTGTTTTTTCCCACTTAACCACTGGAATAAATTATATACAGTATTAGACATTTAGTTTATGTTTTGACCAACAAATATCGTTAGTTGTCCACTAAATTGCAGCATTGGAAGGCACGTGGTATTACCACTCAAACTCCACTTTTTGCCACTTTTTTCTTACAGAAATGGCTGCTAGAAAACATTCAGCAATTATCTTGATTATTTAATTAAATTATTAAATTATTAATTAGATTTATTGATTAGATTATCAATTAGCTTTATTGAATCTGGTGCAAAGACAATGAAGTTGGACTGCCTTGAACCCTGTTTTGAACTCTATCATACTAAGCTGTATTTCTCGTATAAGTATTTTTTTCTCGGTACTTTATATTTTCTTAAATTTTATTCATTTTACTTTTTTATATTATGCAATAAATAGAAATTAACTGTAATTCGACTGAAATTTATTTTTAAAAAAATATTTTTAGTGATAACATCTGAAATTGGTTTTTCTAGAAAGGAAAAATACATTTTTCAATTCTCCACTACATATAGATTTAAAATATGCAAAAAAAAATTACGCAATTTTTTAAACAGTTTCGGTCCACAAATTGAGCAGTCAGAGGGTTAATTAGAAAGTTAAAAAGGCAAAATAAATAGGTTAGCAGGCATGTAAAAATCTGAAACCTTTTGCATTCATTTTTTTTATATATATATATATATATATAATATATAAATGAAAATGACATTCTAAGAATGTAAATATGAAAACCATTGCAATATATTTATTTTCTTAAATCATCATATCAAGAACTATTACTTATGCATCTATACATTACAGGTGTGTTACAATTTATTTCCGTTCATAATTGCTCTAAGAAATAGACTCCATTTTGTTTGGAGTACAAAAAAGGCCAAATTATGTAGATAAATAAAAAACACATTTAAATATGTAATAAAAAAGGAACACAAGGGGGCACACATAGTTTCTATAAAGTGTCCTTTTTAATTGTACGTCAACCTCAAGTATCTTTCGATATTCATTATTCCCTAGGTGATTTGCATTTTTTATGTGCTTACCTGTGAACAGAACTATAAAAGCAAAGGGCATAAATACATTAATATTATTAAAGCACTTGACTGTTCAAAAAATGATAAGGTCATTAAACCAGAGATGCCTGTGTAATATTTCCTAAGTATTGTGAACTGCATTGTCATAAAGTGAGAACAGAAATGAAACAGCAATCTAAATTATCAATTTATTGAGTTCAAAGAACTAGCTGATCAAGCCTGGCAATACCTAAAGAATATTTTTGAAATAAATCATCACACAGCCTTAGAACTACACAGCCTTGGATATAAATGACTTCATTCTGAATTCAGAAATATTTGGCCATTGAATAGGAGTGTTTACCAGGTTGTGAATGGCTTTATTTTTATGATCACTTTACTGCTGCGAAGCTACTGATCACAGCCAGATTCAAATAATACTCATGGTTTCATTTGCCCATGGTTTATTGTTATGAGCTCATAGATTTTTTATATGCTGGTATTTCAGTGAGTACGCTAAAATTTCATAAGACAAAAAGTAAATTTTAGCATATATTCTTCCAGCTGTCAGATTTAGAGGCAGCACTGTAATGATCTGTAGATGTTTTCTCGCTTTTGTATGTCCTCTTAACTTTAGTTTGGTATCTGTCTTGGAATTTTAGACTATATTATTCTCCTCACATTATCAAAACAGTTTTAAATAAACCATTTTTACTTCCTTTTATGAAGTAAAGAAAGGATTGTAATCAGGAAAAATTTGGGAGTATCATATTTCAATGAAAATGTCCATTTTGAATGCTATTAAATGCAATTTAATGATCCTTTTGCATGACATCTGTACACAAGGACAGAATAAAGGACTCTTTTTCCCAAAATGGATTCAGAAGAGATTTTTGTTTTTGTGACGTCTGTACATATGTAGGTATCTCACATAACTCAAAAACAAGTAGCCTCAGAGTGTTGAAATTTTGTATACAGGACTGCTATAACATATAGTTGTGCACCTTCCTTTTTGATTACAATGAGCCGTACTAAAAGTATATATATATATATAATATACCCACTCTGTTAC